TAACATCATACCACCAACAGGAAAACACTACTCATGGCGAAAAGCTCTCATAGTCGTGGGTATCATCACTCAATATTATCCGTATATTAAGTACATAACTGATCCTAAAATTTATATAAACACAATTCGCTATAATATAGAATACAAAATTATATATATATATATATATATATATATATATATATATACACATGATGGGTCATCATAACCATAACATGAAGCCATTCAACGTATATGATGATATATTCTAATTGATTCAGTATTTTCCGGCACTCTAATATCACAAACATCATGGTCCAAATGGCTACTGCTGCTTCAATCTATAAAAGGGGTACTTCAGTTTGTTTGTTTAGTATTGCGCCTGCGCAAATATGGTGTTGCTATGTGCATGCGCGGCAGTTTGCCGTTATGCGTTTGCGCGAGCGGGATGTTACTACGCGAATGCACGGCACACATAGTACGCCTGCGCAAATAGGATGTTGCTATGCGCATGCGCGGCAGTTTGCTGTTATGCGCATGCGCAAGCAGGATGTTACTATGCGCTGCACTCATTATAGAACGCATGCGCGGACTATCGTTGCGCGCAGCAGTGGCTATGATGCCTGTGGAGCATATTTATACAGGTGTGTGTGTGTTCTGCCAATAAGTAAGATGGCGGTTATGGACACCGGATAAAGTGGGAGTACACTTATTGTCTATAGAGGTTGGTTATTAGAATATTAACATCTGTTATTATTATTTTAGGTCCCATGACTCTTTTTACTCCATATATGTTTTCAGTGCACCCAATCAGTTTTGATTTGATATTAAAATGTTACTATTAAAATATTGTGCCAGGACTTGAGGTGATGATGTCACTTCCTGAGCTGGTAACAATTTTGAGCTGATGGCCATCAGCCGTAAGAGGGCTTTATAAGCAGACACATTTGAACATGGATACAGGTACCCTTGATAAAGACAGCCAGTTGGTGCCGAAACGTTGGGTTTAGTGACTTGTGTTTCTGTCTTGAGGCTTGTAAGAATTTTTGTGGTAATTTGTTATTGTTTTATTGTGTTTGCCCTTGCTTCTGTCACTTTGTTTATCTTTTCTTATATGTTTTCACTGTGGTACTTTTTTGTACATAATAAAGCTAAGTTTTTTTTGAGATTGTTATAGTGTGCATTCTATATTCTATATACATTTGAATATTTAAAGCACTTGAGGGAGTGTTTATATGGTTTGCACCTGGCTGTTCTTATACTATTTTGTCTCTCCATGTGCTGTTGTTTTAATAAAAGTTATAAACATGGAAACTTCTGAATCACACCTTGGATTTTAGCCACTAAAAAAACAATTGAAATGAACTGAAAAACTGAATTTTGGACTTTAAATTTAAATATTTAAAATAAATATAATTAGTATGTATGTATGTATGTATGTATGTGTGTATATATATATATATATATATATATATATATATATATATATATATATTTCTTTAGTGAATAACCTTCATTATAATTTCAACCCCACTGAAAAATCAATAAAGCAGAGTACCGTAGGTAGTAGACTGTGAGAAAAGTGTTCAGTTACAGAACTGATGTTATTAAGTCTGATCATAGATTTGTTTGTTCACATCTTGATAATATGCATACAAGCGTGTCACTTGTCACCCAAGTGGTATGAATGTCAACTGCCATGCACACTGCTAAAATGAGGACCCTCTGGGGTAGAACGCAGCCTGACAATACAGCAAATTTGAAATGTCACTTTCCCAGTAGCATTTGACACAAAATGAAGATGTCACCAGTCAAAGCTGCTTATAGCAGGTTTCAATCTAATACGTTATCTTTCATTTCCTCTTTCTTCCAGCAACAAGACTTTGTGTCGGCCTATGCTTTTGTCGCAGTGGGTCTGAATCCGTTCTAAAAGGTAAAATCAGTATTAATAGATTTGATCCCTTTGTTTGGTATTGCCCTCATCATTAAACCTCCATTCTCAGCATGATACTATAATAGATGCATGCAACGAGGTGGACGGTATGTTCATAGAAACTTGCTCAGCCTAACAAATCAATAGAAAAAGGAAATTGTCGTGGAACACTAACTTGTGACCAATCAAACTACAAATAACTTTGTAAACTATAAACCAGTAAAGGGGACTATCTTCAGTCAAAACAACTTTATTTAGATGAGGCCTAGAGTGCCTTAGTACGGACTAGATCGGAATGCAGTAGTCCGTACCATTTCTCGCAACGGATGCTATCAACCAATAATTGGCACCCAATGCTTCTCCATAATTCCCTTTACTGCTCACTGGCAATAAGAGAAGGGATAGGAGAGCACATACTATGACCTTGGAATCTACTAAATTGTTACACTGTTAAAACCTTAAGGTATAAGACGGTGACCAGGGACAGCAGCCCTCAAAAACTATTAATACATTTTGATCTGATTTAGATTTTACTTATGTTTACTTGCTTAGCATTTTGTTAATTGATAAAAAAAAAAAGATAAACTAGCAAAATTTCCATTTTTGAAAGCATCCTTACTTTACATTTTTTTCACACCTTGAAAAATAAAAATAAATAATGTAAACCAAAGCTTTACACCTGTCTAAATACTTTGCACAGTAGTATACATAGCTCCTTAACAAACTAAATCACCAGTGGAAGTATGATTCAATATCTGTAACGTCTCCTAATGTAAATTGTAAAGATATGTGTGAGATTAGTTGTTGTCGTAACAATAATGTTGCCATACAAAGAATATGAAAACTCTGATAACGGATAAAATCTTAGAGAAACTCAGTAGTTTGCCCTTCAGTAAATCCTCACTCGGGTCTCAATATAGTTTACGCTGAATTGGGCCATTAATAATAATAACAAAGTATTTAACCAGGAAAGGTACATTCAGATTATTCTGGTTTTCAAGTACGTCCTGGGGATGTTACCTTAGCCCAACATCCAGGGGTTGTTACTATTACCCAATTTAATGGTACTCATTACAGAGAGAACATATTCTGAAGCATGCCAGACTGATCCCACTCATAAGGGCCGTCCAAAACTAAAATGCCAGCAAGTACTCTCTGCACAAGAGATACAGCAACCCCAGTCGATTATTTCGGCCTTCTCTGGGCCTCGTCAGTGAAGTGTAGCTGATACCCTTCGAGGCACAGTGAGCATGGTGTCCTCGTCTGGATTACCCTTTTAACTTTGGAAGAAGGGTAATCCAGATGTGGACCCCTTGCTCACGTTACCTAGAGAAATATCGGCTACAACTCACTGACGGGGCCTAACAAGGTTGAAACGTTTGTCTGGGTTGTCTGTATCTCTCATGCAGAGAGAGCTGGCCTGCATTTTGGATCTGTTCAGCCCATTTGGGTGGGACCAGTCTGATATACAAATGGGCTTGGTTCTTTTGGTATTGGCATGAGCTAAAACCAGCTTGAGATCTGAGCGGGGACCCACTGAAGGGCAGGCTATTTGAGCTGTAGTAATGCTGTGAGTAGACACTATTTTAGGAGTTCTACAATTTGTAAACACTGTAACATTTTCATCAAATCTTTACTTCCTTTATATTGCAATAAGGCAAACTTTTCCAGGTTACTTTATCCAATTCTGGTGAACATAAGTTCACTGTATCCACATACCGTATATACTCGTGTATAGCCAACTTTTTCAGCACATTTTTTATGCTGAAAAAGCCCCCCTCAGCTTATACTCTAGTGAGGATCCCACTTACCTGTTCCAAGATGGCCACGCCGGCTCTGCAATCTCCATAGCAACCCATTGCCCATTCTTTTCCCCCCCCCAGGCGGCTCGATGACATAGCACGCACCCAGCGTGGTGTGGTATATAAAGTGGAGGTGGGAGGGGTGTCCTGGGAACTGAGCTGAGGCGGTTGGGTCCTGAGAACCAGTGAGTGGGCAGCGGTGGCCGCAGAAGGCGGGGACAGGTTGCCAGGTGAGGCCGGTGTGTGTCCGGGAAGCAGGGGGGAGGGGCCGAGCTGTGCTCTGAGCTCAGTCTGTAATGTGACTGTAACGCCCATTAGTCATGGGATAATCTGAAGCTTTGCATTGCAGATTTATGTGATGCCTGATTGCTAGTGTTCTTACCCTGGATACGTTTTTTTTTTTTTTTTTTTACATTAAACAAGGAATTAAAGGTAATTAAAAAGCATCTTGCCGTCTATAGCCTAAAATAAGCTGAGCTTTTCCCAAATGAGTACATTTGCAATTTGATTTTGATTTACTACACATGTTGAGTGGTTGAACCCCTATAAAGTACCTCTTTGAGATCATACTGGTAGACAATATAGTTTACTTTTCTTTAAATAGGAACTTGCCTATTCTCAAACCAGAATCTGTTGTCAATCAACGTAGCATTTTTTATTTTTGAAATTTACCAGTAGCTGCTGCATTTCCCACCCTAGGCTTATACTCGAGTCAATAAGTTTTCCCAGGTTTTTGTGCTAAAATTAGGGGCCTCGGCTTACAATTGGGTCGGCTTATACTCGAGTATATACGGTATTTCTTTTCTTAGCTTCTGTTTAGAATAAGAGCCAAACCCAGCATGGTCTTCTGCACTTAGAGCAAACCCACTTCAATTTCAAGGTCAGACTTCTGCATTCAGAGATGTCCTTCAGCCATAGGCGTGCGCACGGGGTGTGCCGGGTGTGCCTGGGCACACCCTAATCCCCGCGGCACGCCTATGTATATTGAGACCAGCAGGGGAGATTTCAGGATCTCCCCTGTCGGCTCATGCAGAGCCGGCGCTATCCGAGCGCCGGCTCTGCTCTCAGCCTCCTTCCCCACTGACCAGCATGCAGGGAGGGAGGCAGGAGAGAACCCGGCGGAGCTATTGCCGGCAGCTCCGCCGGGTTCCTCTCGCGAGATATGAGCGTTGCCATGACAACGCTCAAATCTCGCGAGAGTGAACTCTAGCCCCACAGGGGTTAGAGTTCACTCTCCACTGGACCACCAGGGATCACAGCAGCAAGGATCCCCTCCTCCACTGGACCACCAGGGAAAGCAGCAGCACGATCCCCCCTCCCTGCAAAAGGTAAGAAGGGAGGGGGGATAGCAATTAATGTACCCCCACCTCCACCCCCACAATCACCCACACACACATACAGCACACACATACAGCACACACACATACAACACCCACACACACATACAGCACACACACATACAACACCCACAGACATACACAGCACCCACAGACATACACAGCACCCACAGACATACACAGCACCCACAGACATTCAGCACCCACACACATACAGCACCCACACGCATACAGCACCCACACGCATACAGCACCCACAGGCATACAGCACCCACAGGCATACAGTACCCACACCCACACACATACACATTACCCACACACATACAGCACCCACACACATACAGCACCCACAGACACAGCACCCACAGACAGCACCCACACACACATACAGCACCCTCACAAACACACACACAGCACACTAACAGTACCCTCACAAACACAAACAGGACCCTAACACACACACAGCACACTACCAGTACCCTCACACACAAACAGCACCCTCACACACAGTACATTAACAGCACCCTCACAAGCGCACACAAACACACACAAACCGCACCCTCACACACAGTACATTAACAGCACCCTCACAAGTGCACACAAACACACACAAACCGCACCCTCACACACAGTACATTAACAGCATCCTCACAAGCATGCACACACAAACACCCTCACCCACATAGCACACTACCAATACCGTCACACACACATCACACTAACAGCACCCTCACACAGCACACACACACACACAGCAGTGTGTGTATGTGTGTATATATGTGTATATATATATATATATATATGCGGCGTGTGCTTGTGCTTTAGGGTGCACACCCTAATGCAATAGGCTGCGCACGCCTATGCCTTCAGCACACCACTAATGAAAGGGAGGCATTTCAGCATTTGCAGTCTTTTTTTTCAGCTTGAACATATCTGAGTACTCTTCTCTGATCTCTCTTATTAACAAGGCACTTAACTGATCACTAGATATATAATATTATTTCACCATTCTCTGTAACTGTAATTCCTGCAATGCACAAAAATCCCAGTTGGTAAGCAATTTAAAGGGTTATTCCAGACACCATGATAATTTCAATGATTTGAAGTAGGCATGGTGCCTGGAGTGCAGAGTTTCACTTTAAAAAGCTGCACATACTGTTTAACCTCTCTGGTGATGGATGTTTGACTCAACCTCCAGTAGCGTCATTGGGTTGCCTTCAGCCAACCTGAAACTAGGGTTCTGGGCTAGCTAATTTCAGTTCTGTGGAACATAATCTTATGAATTGGCTGAGAGTGTTCAGCTAAAGCTCCTATCCAATGAATGGCTGACAGGAATGATATCTGGCTTCTGCGGTGCTGCAGCCCCAGATATAGTAAGTCCTGCTTCAGTGGACACCCGGAGCCCAGCAGGACCAGGTAAGGTCCCGATGCTCCCATTACCGGGTAATAAGGTCAGGAAACTCTGCATGTTATAACCCCTAAAGCTGGCTGTAGTGGTTATTATGGTTGGAGTAACCCTGCAAGAGATGCTAAGTCTGGCACCAACATTTATGCTATTGCCAATATTTATTGTATCACACAATTTCCCTCTTCTAATTATTTGCAGAGCAACAATTAAACCTTTTGACGATGTCTTGTGGAGTTGCAGCCAAATTATTTTATCAAAACTGCATATAGCAAATTGAAGGTGGTTAGGTCATAGGAGTTGCAGTTTGATCGGAGCTTAAGATCTGATAATGAAATATCCTTGAAATAATTCGATATGATGCACTGTCATATAGAAGGCAAATTGCCATCTTCAGGCTCTGTGTAACTGTTCTGTTGTCGACAGCTCAGTAGCACAAGTGTCAAAAGGTGGGTATAGCTTTTCAGAGAATTCACGTATGCGGTGGCTTATATAATGTTTTTTCCCGAAGCAGAATTCATACCTCTTAGTACATGCTGTTAATCATAACAAACCCAGCGGCTTATTGATGCCCAATCTGTCGATGGATTTATATGACGCATTAACAGAACAAGTCTAGCTTCTATGATGCCCTTCTCAATGCAATTGATTTTATTGATCCAGGAAAGATGAAAGGCTGAGTTAATCCAGCTGCAAATGGAACCAGCATGCCTAAACTTTGAACAGATAATACATTCATTGGATGAACTAACTTAAGGCTCATTTTCCGAGTTATTACCAGTCGTTACTTACCGGTACTAAAATATTTGCTTGTTTAATGGCTGCTGCTAAATCTCAAAAACAGAGGCCTCTTGCCTTGGAGAGACGTTAATATCAGCTAAATATCTATATATTCTATAGGGGGGAAAATCATGTTAACTATATGGCATTACACTAAACCACATATCAAAGCATCTACTGACAGCATCTGTCTATTCCTCAAATGTGTCTGTGAATGTTTATCTACACAACACTATGGCTATATCATCAGGACAAAATGGCCATGGGAAATTTATTGAATTACTGACATGTACTTTAGAGATGGGTTCTGCCTTTTCGCCAACTCGATCTTACCCCTTACTCTCTTGGTTCAATATCTTCTGCATTCAATATTTCCTTTGTAACTTGCAAGTTTTGTTGCCTTGGGTAAAATGATCCTTAGCTCATTCCATACTGGTACTGTTTATATGTCAGGGGCAATTTGCTACTTGCAGAGTAACTTCCGTGACAACTAATGAAATGTCCCCATTGATTGGTTGCATTGAGAACTTTACCCATGTTCCTCTTTCAAGGTGGTACCCTAGAAGAGGCATTGGTGGATTGGAGGGGAGCATCAGGACAAATTCTCTCCCTCAGTAGCCAGGGTTATTCATGTCAAAACAGCAGCTGGAGCAGACTGAGAGACTGTTCCCCCCACCCCTCCTACCACCCGCCACCCCCACTCCATTGTTAAATGATTTGTTGGATAGGAAGAACAGTAATAGTGGTCATACATCCCAACATTTTAAACAGACACAGAGGCACACTTTAATTTTAAGGCTGTGAGTTGGCATATGGCTAGAAACAGGGAGGTTCTCTGAAATTTTTATTGACTTACTAATAACAATTTAAGCAATTAAAATTTCATTTATAATGAGACGAATATATCTTATTTACACAGACTGATTTCTAAACACATTTATTGTAGTTTAAAGACACATTACTGTGAGTATTATTGCTGTGGAGCTCTGTTATACACACAGACACACCAACAATATGGAACTCCTAGAGAAAAGGACATTAGGATAGAAAAGAGGAATAGAGGGATTTGGACTCAAAATAGGGACTGTCCCTCCTAAATAGGGACACTTGGAAGGTATGGTAGTGGCATTGAGATAGCTGCATACCTAAATATTTGTATGCATCCAGTGGCGTACATACCGCAGTCGCAGGAGTTGCAGCTGCAACCGGGCCTGTCACTCTAGGGGGCCCGGCCGTCTCTGCGACCGGGTATTAGCGGCCACATTTTGCGGCCCCGGCCCGCACGGCAAACTGCCGGGCCCATCTTTCAAGGGGTCCATAGGGTGGCCCACACTGTCAGGGCCACCGCATGGAGATGGCTTATCAGGGGGCACGGTCAGCGCTGGGCACTTTAAAAGAAAGCCTGCGCGGGAGCAAGGAGGAGGGAGTCAGAGTGGGAACTTTGGAATTTCAATGAAATTGCACCGCAGTCAAAACACATCATAAAACAAAGTAGGGACTACTTTATCTTATAGTAAAGACGAAAATGGACAAAACTTTATGACTCAGCTGGAGCGTCCACTATCACATGTTTCCAATTCAGGCTGATTGCAATCTTGAAGGGATCCTCTATAGACATGCAGGTAATCAATCACTCTTCCTTACATGAACAAGCACAGGACAAATGCACCCCGAGACAGTATGTATATTATATAGACTTTTTTTAAAAATTGTGTTTTTTTTTTTTTTTTCAGTAATAATAAAAATTAAGGAAGATGTTCCACCTTTGCAATTGAGTTGTCAAGCACAAACCGTATCCCTTTTTTTTGGTTGACCTCTGTGGCTGTGCTCAGTCTTCATGTCTCGTCCGTACAGAATCATGTATTCTCAATATCATGATATGTTCCTGTATTTCCATGCTGTGTTCTGTGTATGTTGGTACATACTAAATAATAATAATAATAATAATCTGTTTACTCCTTGCCTTTTACTATATATGTGTATATGGCAAAGCAAATGGCTCTGCTAACTATTTTTGAAACTCTAATAATAATCTCCTCTAATGACTTAATTTTGGTTTGAGAATTTGACTTAGTTCACCATAGTTAAAGGGCTGTCTATATGTCACTTGGGGCCACCACAAACAAATTGCCCAATTTGAGGCCAAACAAGCACATCATCACATCACACTCAACTCTTTTTCTTAATTTTAGATTCCATTTTTATACTAATACTGTAATACTGTAACTGGAATATAATAATAATAATAATAATAAAATTAAATAGTTACATAATATATTTAGTATTATGCTGAGGCAGCACCCCTTACACCTCTTTATAGTAGCAAATACCCCCTGCCCCCTTGACAGCCCTCCCCTGTTATTATATATAAAATCTACATCTGGCATTTTCAATACAATACTGAGATAAATGAACTTTAGATTTAAATTGCGAACTACACATCAGGCAAGGTGACAGGGTTACGACATCTAAGCATCAGTATTTTATATGACTACTGGTAATTTTAAGTGACACTACCTCTTCAAATGTTTAAGGCATTGATAAATAATAACCAGGCTCTCTAATGTCTGGGCATCACAACCCAGAGAGAAAGCCTTAGGCATCTGAGCATTGTGCCCTGTAGGGAATGCTTTACTGAATGAATCTGATATACACGCGCGTCAACTTCTGAAGTACCGCAATCGAATTGTGCTGCCTTAGGCACATAACTATGAATGCAATCGCCAAGGTCAAATCAGACTCCACGGAAAGCGGGCTGCAAAATGCATTGCAGGCATTTTCTACATTTTAAGCTAGAAACACAGCCATCAACGAAAAAAAATAAAAAAAAATTAATAAAATAAGCACTCATCTAATATGCTGGAACATTTTGTTTTAATTTAAAGTGTATCAATCACAAACCACCTCAGACAGAAAGTAATAATGTCTAAAAGTCAGAAAATAAAATATTTCATGCCTTGAAGGAAAAACAAATTGGATAGAGATGCACGTATTCCAAATAAATACATAAATATTTCAATACAAAATACCTGAGAAAGTTCATGAACAACATTTTAATGCTAGAGACAATGGGAGACATTTTTACAGGACTCCTTGGAGTGTTAAAAATGGTAAAA